CTCTCAACTACTGTATGTGAGTATTCCTTCTGCTATTAAATTTGCTAGTCAACTTTACTATTTTGTTGGACACCTATTTAACCATCCTGGCCAATATTTGGTTCTGATTGAGTGAGCAATCCTTTTCACTAGTAAAAGTAGAGATAAGCTGATAATTTTTAGAATAAATTTTTTTTTTCTGCTTATTCAGTTTGTATGTTCTTTAATATTGGGTTTACTGATAGAACTTGGTGGGTCTCTAAAGAATAGCACTCATGTTATTACAACAAACTGTGTTCAACAGGAAATAGTGGTGTTCACAGGAAAAGTAACTCATTGTTTGCATAGATACGTTTTTTTTTTTTCATAATTTTACACCTATTCATACTCAGCTGAGCCACATCTAACTTGAGCAGTGTTTGATAGCTAGGCTGCCCAAAACAGAAGAAAGTACATTTGTGACCATTTAGATCTAAAATTCTGAATGTAATAATAATAAATTATAGGTAATAATAATTACTATATGATACTAACAAAAAAAACATACTAATAGAAACATTTTATTAACAATACTATGATACAAAAAAAAATAACAAAAAAGATAAATCATGTTCATCAGAAATATTTTATTTGTATTATTGTTATTATTATTACTGATATCATTACAAGTATTAATAAAATATTCACACTAGATATTACGCTTTTATTAGTCTAATCATTTCTTGCTAGTGTTGTCAAAAAGCAGAAATAAACAGATAATCCATTCCTTTTTTTATTTTTATAAACCCAAATTTCTGCTGCATGTCAGTGGAGGATGTATATCAGAAGTTGACACATTTATTTACATTTTGTTCTGTTGTTTCACTGAACGGATATCCGGCCATGGAAAAATGCTAGACTGGAGCACAACCATTCACAGCCACTGATTATGACATGCATAAATGTAATGAAAACTTCTGCTTGACAATCAGAGATGTCTCTGTGTCTGTATGGATGTCTCTGTGTCAGACATATACTTGTCATAAGCTATTCCATAAAGTGGCCGGGACATAATCGGCTATGGCAGGAAGTAATGACACCTACGGATGTGACCTCCATCTACTCCACTGAATATGTCACCTGCACGACTCACTTTGCTTCTTTCCATCTACAAATCTCTATTCTTTTCCTCTGCCTCTCTCACACACACACACACACCTTCACTCTCTGTCTCTCTCGCCCCCCCTCTTCTCCTCATCACCCACACACACACTCTCTCTCGCTCTCTCTCTTTCTCTCTAGTCTGGTCTAGAGCTTTCTGTCTGCTCTGCCTGGTGACAGAACGGCCTGATGGATTTTGATCCTCTCTCTGTGGTCTGCAGAGAGAAACTCAGTCTGTGTATGGCTAATCTGCAGTCTGTGATACCCAGACTCTCTCTCATTTGTTCACGCTCTCTTTCTGGCTCTCTGTGATTGGCATAAGAGGTCAGTGTTAAATAGGACAGAGAGTGTGTCAGTGGGAGAATTGGACAGGACATAGTAACAATCAAAGAACACTGTCACTAAAGCACTGTTGAGACGGGATTCGTTTTCAAACGTTTGAGTGTTTTAATGTACTGATTTAGACTGGATTTCGATCTCTGTAGGGTTTTTTTTTCTCAAACTGAAGTGTCTTGTCTGGATGTGGGTGTTACAGAAAGTCATGTGCTCTGGATGTGAACAGATACCATGAAAACCAATTGAAATAAACAAAACCTACATGGTGGCTGGTTTCTAGCTGGTCTAAGCTGGCCATTAGCTGATCTGAATGGGTCATTAGTTAGTTAACAAGCTACTGTGTTCCAAAAACCAGCTTAAAGGAACACTCCACTACTTTTGAAAATAGGCTCATTTTCCAACTCCCCTAGAGTTAAACAGTTGAGTTTTACCGTTTTCGAATCCATTCATCCGATCTCCAGGTCTGGCGTAGCACTTTTAGCTGTAGCTTAGCATAGGTCATTGAATCTGATTAGACCATTAGCATCTCACTCAAAAATGACCAAATAGTTTCTATATTTTTCCTATTTAATCAACTGTTTAACTCTAGGGGAGTTGGAAAATGAGCCTATTTTCAAAAATAGTGAAGTATTCCTTTAATCACCAAAAGCTGGCATGTTGTTGGTCCAAAAGTGTCTACTGACAGCTTAGACCAGCCAGAAACCAACTATCATGTTCCAAAAGCTTTTAGCTTAAGTTGGGCAAACAATCACAAGGGATTTCTAAAAGAGGAATCCAGAGTTGTCTGTTTTAATTGTTTATCTTATTTTAACAATCTAATTATTTATATTACATCTTGTCAGAAAATCTGGGTGATGCTTACCCATGCTAAGCTCTTTGGTGGTTCTAAGCAGTTTCTAAGGTGTTATGAGTGGTTTTTACATTGCTATATGTTGCTAAGGTGTTCAAGTTGGTTGCTAGGGTGTTGTTTGTAAGAGTTACCCTGAAAACTAAATCTGTGAAATTAGTCTGAGTAGTTAAGCACAGTGGGGTCCAAAAGTCTTGAATGCAATTAAGAAAATGCCTCTGCTTTGCATTTTTCTATCTTTTTTTCATTGAAATAATTTTTTATTATAAATTATTTCATCCACATGATGAAAAACGTAATTGAAATTTTTGTATGATTTTATGATTTGAGTCCGTACTTCTGTGGAAGCCAGAAAACTTCAACATGGTCAATGTCACAGATATGCTTATTTGATTAGCGAGTGACGAGAACTACTGCAGAATTTGAAGTATTTTTAAATTCATTTTATATCATTTTCTCTGTTTTACGCTTTTCAGCATCCTAGAAATGTTTGTTTCCAGGTTAAATTAGATTTTCAATGTGGACTCTCAAATCCCCACTGTACATTTAAAAAGACTTGCCTTTATTTCCTGTATTTTGATATAAAGTCAGAGGAGCAGCTCAGCTTTCATAGACTAGTATAAAGCCTGCTGTGATTTCGTTTTGTATTGATTCAGTTCCAGTCTGATAGGCTTGTGTTTGTAGTCTTATTTGTTCTTACCGGAATTCTGATCTGAGTCTCATTCTCTCTGTCTTATCTGCCCTCCTGTCTGATTGTCACTTCCTTTGTCTGTTTTGCCTGGCTGCCTGTCTGTCCTCTTTTTTTCTCTCTCTCTCTCTCTCCTCTTCGCCCTCCCCTCTGCTCTGTCTCCCTCTTTTGCTTCCTCCTCTTATGCCCTAAATTAGGAGAGAAGTGTTTGTTTCTTTTGATGTGTGAGTCCCAGTATCCCGCAGTACTGCACTGCAGGCAACAACTCACTCTTTCATTCTCTCTTCGTGACACTCTCACTTTCAGCCTCTCAGTTCGGTTTACTCGACTGTACAAGGTTCAAGAACGGTCCCTCAGCGGTCAGCGCAGTTGGTGGAGGGCTCGTTTTTGTTGTCTGAAAAGGCTATGGACTCCAAAAGCATTTCAATCTGAGAAACGGTTTTGGTCTTGACTGAGAGAGCAAGTGTGAGTCCAGCAGTGTGTTCCTCATGTTCAGACAGAACATGTTTCAAGAAACATCGATCAAGCTGTTTATCTTCATTACTTTGGTTCTTGTAGGCCAGGATATTGGAATAAAGCTATAGTTAATGATAGAAACTTTGGTTCCCTTTCAGTCGGTCACTCTCGACGTCACGTCGGATGACCAACGAAATTGGGATCTCGCTTAGAGAGACCAATCTACTTCGAGTGTAAACTAAACGAGCCAATGCATTTGCAGCGGTCGACCTGAAGGACGCGTACTTCATGGGTCGACCCTTCCGCACCACAGACCATTGCTGTGGTTCGCGTCCGAAGGACGAACATATCAGTACGAGGTCCTGCCCTCCGTCCTTCAGGGAACGAGGGTTACCATACGTAACCGAGACGTTTCATCATTAGACACCCAAAAATCTTTTTAAAGGTTTTTTTTTTTTGGGTAACTATTTGTTTATTTACTCACCCTCATGTTATTTTAAACCTGTATGCCATTAGTTGTTTTCATGAATCATAAAAGGAGAATTTTAAAGAATCTTTAAAGGGCCAGTACATCCAAAAATGAAAATTGTCATTATTTGCTCACCCTCATGTCGTTCCTAACCTGTATGCTTTTTTTCTTCTTCTTCCATATAATCACAGTCAATTGGGGCCACAGTCAATGTTTTTAAATTGTTGAAAACAGAAACTCATACATGTTTGGAACAACATGAGGGGAGTAAATTATGGCAGGATTTTCATTTAGGAGTGAACTATCTCTTTAATCAACTTTTTTTTTTTTTCCATGTGGCAATTCATAGACCACAGCTTTCAATATCTCAAAAGCACTATTAAAGCAACAAGTTGTATTCCATTTGACCTGTGCACTATATTCCAAGTGTTCTGAAGCTTTATGATAGATTTAAGTGAGAAACAGACCGAAAAATAAGCTATTATTGACCCGCAAATCAAATATGGTGCCTGTGGTGCCGGATGATATTAAATAGAGCCGCATAACTTCTTCAGAATTATCCTTTTGTGTTCCATGGAAAAAAATAACAACATTGAAATGAGGGCAAGGGCAAGTAAATAATGGCAAAATATTCATTTTGGGGTGAAATGGTCCAAAGGCAATGCAGTCTACAGCAAGACTTAATGCTTTGAAATATATAATGATATGAATTTATTTAGCAAAAGCGATTTTTTTTTCTCAAATAATATTTAATGCGTAGTTAAAAATGATGAACAGGAATAAACAGGCTTTATCTAATTTCTGAAGCTGATACACTAGATCTCACTCTAAGTCTATACTATCTATTTTCTTTCTGTTGTCCATGTCAAACCAAAATGCCTCTCACCTTTTTTTGCCAGATGATATCATATCACCTAATTTGGGGATCTGTAGTCATCATGGATGTTGATTTGACTCTGCTGCCATCTTTTGGTCAAAATGAGATTAAACTTTTTTTTTTCTTTTTTTTTTGATCGTAAACAGGATCTGTGTTGTTTTTTTCATTCTGCACTGTTCTAAACTATTTATGTCTTTATATTTTGCAGCTGAACTGGAGTTTGTGCAGATCGTGATCATAATCGTCGTGATGACTGTGATGGTCGTGGTGGTCGTGTGTCTGCTCAACCACTACAAGCTCACCACATGGTCGTTCCTGAGCCGGGCTAGTCAGGCACAGAGTCAGGATCTCTCTCTGCAGCCGGTAAGACCCTGTCTCACTCTCTCTGTACTAACCGCAGCAGCACCTTTGCTTAAACACTTTCACAACCTTCCGTACACTTTCCTCCATATTTAGATGAGCCCTGGGTGGGAATAAACAAAAAAAATGAATGTTAGAGATGAGGCCTACTAGAAGTTCACATGGTTCATATGGAACACACCAGTTGCCAGCAATTTCCTGTCTCTGTGAGAAAATAATAATCATGTTTTATTTACACAGAATCTTTCTAGAACCAAACGTCACTTTACTGAGCATGCTAAGCAAATAGGAAACAGTATGATGAGCAATTTATTACAAGAAGCAGACAAATCAGAAAACAATACATGGATATAGCATGGGAACAACATAAAATGTAAACAGCATAAACAAATGCAGTGTGGGATGAAAACAGGAAACCAAAATGATCAGAATATTTCTGCAAATCAGCAGCAGAATGAAAAAGGTATAATCACAATGTCATGAGAGTAAAACAGAGATATTAAAGTTTTCAACAGTTTTCCAAAGTCCAGGTGCAGCAAAGCCCACGAGGATCATCTAAACAAGTAAATCAGCACCTAAAATCATCTTAATAATAAGGGCTTAACAAATGGGTTATTTATTTATTTATTTATTTATTTATTTATTTTTTTACATGTCACCCATGTAATTTAAATAAGGATATATTTAGGCACACATTATTATTATGATTCTTTTTATTTATAACCTTTTTTTATTATTTTAATTTTTTATATATATTTTTAATAATGCCAGTTTGGTTAATGAGTATCGAGTGAGTAATCAAGTATTTCTGATATATGTTCATTGATGACAGTGGGTGAACTTTATTTTAAATGTTCCTTTATAAATTATAGAAGTATTTAAGTATTTATAATTATTAAATATGGCGTTTGTCGGGAAAATACCTTCCTTAAAGTCAGCACTTAAAATTATGTTGTGTCTAAATCATAAACATCACAGTTCCTTGTCATGATTTTCAGGCTGAGCTGTGAAACATCAATTTCTAATACTGAATAAATGAATTTTTCACCTTGCCGTGTCATCTCTAAGCCTTGTTTGGTATGTCTTATGTGGGTGAGCTTTTATCTTAGAAAAGAAGAAAACAGCAGGGCCTAAAAATCTCTTGAGTGGGGTGTGTGTGTGTTTACTTCTGGAAAGGTCGTCTTTGTGTCTAATCCAAAATAACTTGCAGCAGTGCACTGAGCTGATGAGACGGAGCACTGCATGTGTGGGTGTCTCATCTCACTTCAGGGATGGTTTTCGGAACGTTTGTGCAGTTTTTAACTAGACAGACAGCAGGAAATTAATCGTACATTTATCTTACTTCAAAAATACAAATCATTGGTCTGAGTCATGCCCTAAAGGTTAGTGAACATGCTGCAAAGTGCATGAGGTTCCAGTTGTTCATGCTATGGGCAACTGGATAGAGAATTTTCATGGGATACTGAATACTGCATTAGGACATATTACATCTTACTGAATGCATTACCTGTAATTAAAACACGATATATATTACTCCTTCAGAAAGGCAGTGTGTTTTGGAGGAGACACAATGGCAGTGTCCCTCTGAGACCAGGGCATGTTGATTACATTTAGCAGTTCTGTCTAGACGCCAGTCAAACTCAGACATGCGCAGCCCACTGCAGCACCCGGGAGAGACTGCTAAATGACTGAGACTTTTCATTTTCATTCATGAGGGAATGCGAGGGGGAGGGAAGCCAGTGAAGGAAGCAAGCAGTAATGTCTGGGAGCATGTTACTCGCTGGTTGTTTAGATTTTTTAATTAGAATGGATACATGTAGCCACAGAGCATTGTTAGAGTTTAACAAATAGGCTCTGTCTGATTCTTTTGATTTATTTTATCTATTTATTTATTTATTCATTCATTCTATTTTATTTTATTATATATCTTTTTTTTTTTTTTTTTTCCTCCAAATGTCTATAATTTTAAATATGGGTATTATTAGGGTTTAACAAATTATGGGTATTTATTTATTTATTTATTGTAGAATATTTTTAATATTATATTTTGTTTGTTTATTGTTTTTAAATGTCTTTCATGCAATTTACATAAGAAAATATGTAGGCAAAAAGTTTAACAAATTAATCCAAATATGGATAGAATTAAGGTTCAACAAATGGTTTATTAATTAATGGAAGAATATTTTTTTATATTATATTATATTATATTATATTATTTCAACCATGAAATGCTAATATGAATATACAAGGACTCAGAGCTTTATTACCGCTTAACAACCAGGTTTTTTTCTTATATTTTCTAGTCTATTTTCATTTATGACAGTGGGTGAACTATAATGATTTTAAATGTTCCTCTCTAATCAACAATCAGTTGTTGTTAACCTAACAATATTGTATATTTACTATGTAAAATATTTCAGTATCAGTATTATTTGATATTCTTGGTAGACTATGCTATCTTAAAATTCAAATAATTCTGAATATTACATATGTGTATTTTTTTCTCCTTGTTTGTAGGAGGGTTCTCTGTGGCCATCAGATAATGGGCTGAGACAAGGAGCATCTGAGGTAAGCTGTGTGTGTGTGTGTGTGTGTGTGTGTGTGTGTGTGTTTCAAGGGTTGTTGTTCTCCTTGTATAAATGGCATGTCTGCCTGTAACAAGCAGTGAAGTCTTCTCAAGTGTGTGTCGTCTCTGTGCCTGTGCCTCTCTCAGTGTAGGCGTATGTGAGGGAGGATAGTCTCTGAGACTGTCTGTGAGTGATAGCACTAGTATAAAATATATTGTGTGGAGAGAATACATGCGTATATATTCATTGTTTGTGTGTGGTGGTGGTGTGGGGGGTTGTCTCTCTCACCGGGATGCAGCCTCTCAGCAGTTCATTAATCTCTCACCCTCGTCTGGCAGCGTCTAGACGGTCGTCTGAGAGGCCAGACACTCAGGGTCTATCTGCGCAAATTGCCTCCCATCAGCCTCAAACTCACTAATGTAGACGTGGCCCCTGCAGTAATGAGGCTGATCTCATTGGCTAACTGATATGCAGATTTCACTCATATTAGGGATATTTTATCAGCTGCACATTAGCATACTAATGTCTGGACTGGGGACCGTTTAAGTTTGGGGCTCTGGTGAGTTTATATGGAAATGGAAGAGTCATTATTTAACTGTGTGGATGTGGTATGAGTAGAATACCATTATTCTGAACAAACACTTTTGTCTGCTGTAAAAACTGGTTTATGTGCTTGTAGTTCTAGTTGAGCATATAGATTCTTTCTCTGTCATACAATGTCTTATATGTGACCCTGGACCACAAAACCAGTCTTAAGTCGCTGGGGTATATTTTTAGCAATACCCAAAAAAACATTGTATGGGTCAAAATTATCGAGTAAGGCTAGGTGATATAGCTTAAAAATGTATCAAGATTTTGTTTGCTTTTTAAAAATGTCTGTGCTTTTGCTTTTTATCTAATCATAATTATGAAATGTAATATATAGATATAGATACACACGTGTGTGTGTTTGTGTGTGTGTGTGTTTGCTTAGAAGTGTGTATATAATTATACTCTATCATATTTTCATATATTTCATATGCCATTTTTCAAATTTCATATATTTTCATATATATTTTCATCTTTGCCAAAATTTGTCAGATTATAAAATATCATTATTAATTGTCTCGGGAGTCTGTCAAAAAAATAACATAATAACGGTTGTAAAAATAATAATGGTCGTAAAATATATATCTGTATATAAAGACAGTCTGAAATGTGATTTTTATTTTATTTTCTATTTTATTTATTTATTTATTTTTGGTCATACAGTTTAATGAGGGATGTTGCAAACAAATAATTGAACACAAATTGTGTTTTCTTTGGAACGGACAGCTTTGAAAAACAGAAAAGTGCCATAACATTTTTCATCCACCAATAGTACTGAATGTATCAAAGATCTAGGCTGGTAACTGGAAGTTTGTAGGTTCAAACCCTTCAAGGGACGATCCATAAACTACCACCATTGTGCCATTTATACGGTGGCCGAGAGAGCTCAACGCGCTGCAACTTCAGAAAACACATGCAAATAGAAAAGGCACCAGCAAATTAAGAAAACATCTTCATCAGTTTGACAGAACATGTGCTGCAAATACTCGCAACACAACCAAATACTAAAACACAAACAAAATTACCCCAACAAAATGAAAATTAACCATTGTTTTTTTTGGCGTATTGATTTCCATTTGTATAACCACAGTTGTACAAATACCATGGTTAAAATGGTTAGTGTAGTAAATCCATGGTTAATTTGTATAAAAAATAACCTTTTTTTTTTCTTCATTTTTCTTATATAATGTATTTATTAATTAATTAGTTTTAATAGTAGGCTATGATTAATTTTTGTAAGGTAAGTTATAAAAGTAAGTTAGCCAGCTTACATAACCTTTCACAGTTACAGTAATTGTGTATTTCGTCAGCTTATTTAGGCTAATAATATCCACAAAAAAGAGCTAATAAATATGATCAGGGTGTTAAAATAAACAAAAATCAATTTTCAGAGTAGACAGTGCATGTCCCAGCCATGTTTGTCACTGCGGTTCCCTTAAACATTTCCGATGTGGTCTGTGTCTATTTGCAGCGCGTTTCTTTATTTAGTTGTGTTGTGAGTATTTGCAGCGCATTTCTTTATTTGGTTGTGTTGTGAGTATTTGCAGCGCGTTTCTTTATTTGTTTGTGTTGTGAGTATCTGCAGCGCGTTTCTGTTTTTGCAGGGCGTTTCTTTGTGTTGTGAGTATTTGCAGCGCGTTTCTTTATTTGTTTGTGTTGTGAGTATTTGCAGCGCGTTTCTTTATTTGTTTTGTGAGTATTTGCAGCGCGTTTGTTTGTGTTGTGAGTATTTGCAGAGCGTTTCTTTATTTGGTTGTGTTGTGAGCATTTGCAGCGTGTGTGTTGTCAAATTGATGATGTTTTTTTTATTTGCATGTGTTTTTTCATTTGCAGCGCGTTGAGCTCTCTCGGCCACCGTACATTTAGGCTACGTTTACACGACAACAATGTAGTCAAAAATGGAAAAGTTTTTCCCTTGCGTTTTTAAAAAGTTTAATGTATGCATGACAACGGTTTCAAAACGATTTGCATTTACACATATCTGCGAAAATGGCCAAAAACGTTGTATTACGTATGCCAGGCCAGTAGTTGGCTCTGTCACCTTGTTAGTAAACAGTACTACTAGTAGGGAAGTGACGATTATATGATGTATATGATGCGTCTCCGCTATTGGTGAAGTAAATCCACACTTTGCTGAAGAAGCATTAGCAAACTCTTGAGCAGCAACAACAGTACCATGTACTCTGCCATTGTTGTGTATGTTTGTTCGCACTTGACTTTAAAATCGACACGTACTGTGCACGTCTACATACCTAACACGTACTACGCACGCGCATGATGTCACCGGTTTCAAAGATTCCCGTATTGGGTGTTTACACGGAAATGATAACGGTGGCGTTTTCAAAAGCTTGCTCTTTGAAAGCCGTTTTCAAAAATATGCGTTTTCAGTCCGCAAAACTCTGTTGTCGTGTAAACAAACAGGCAAAACACACAAAAAGTTTCCTGTTTTTGGCTGAAAAACGTTGTCATGTAATCGGCCCCTTAGATGTGCATAGTATACTAGCATTTACTGATGTCTAATTATTAGCTACTGTTTTCATGGCTTTTTATTGGATTTCTTGCATTTACTCCCTTCTGCTCTGCAGGTGGTGTATGGTCCTCAGCCAAGGGACCGCTTCACCGCTCCCACTTTCATGCAGCACAACCGCTTCAGACGTTTCCAGCCTACCTACCCATACCTGCAGCAAGAGATCGATCTGCCGCCCACCATCTCTCTGTCAGACGGAGAGGAGCCGCCGCCGTACCAGGGCCCCTGCACACTGCAGCTGAGAGACCCCGAACAGCAGCTCGAGCTCAACCGAGAGTCGGTACGCGCTCCGCCTAACCGGACCATCTTCGACAGGGACCTCATTGACATGCACAGTTCAGGTGGTGGCGGTGGGCCGCGACCTCCCAGTAGCAACTCTGGGATCAGCGCGGCCAGCTTCAGTACCCATGGACGCATGGAGGGCCCTCCGCCCGCTTACAGTCAAGTAATTGGGCAGCAGTCGGGCATCGTACTTTACCTCCACCAGCACAGCAATAACCCGCCCATCCCCATCACTGTGCAGACTCCGCCCAGGGGCCGGACAGATTTAAACAGCCCAGAGAGCACAATAGCGCTGAGCAAAGACCTACAGAGGGAGGAGCTAGTGTGAGGGGGCGGGGCTAGCACACGATTGGGCAATCGCGATCACTCTCCACTCACAAAGGGAACGGGTTCTCCCTCTTGACACTCCCGTGCACAACAGCGCTTAATGCGTCTTCGCGACGAAAGCGAAACCATGTGGTTTTTTTTGTGTTTTTTTTAAATAACAATATGGAGCTGAGCTTACGAAAGAAAACATTACATTTGTTTTCTGTCAGTCCAGCTGCGCTAAAACTGGGGTTTATGCACTGCCTGGAGTCTCGAGTTATTTCTCTGTATTACTTCTGTATAGCCGACAAATGTAGAGAAAGTTATTCGTGCACAAGACAGGATTTTAGTTGTTGTTGTTCTTGTTGGTTTTATTGTTGTATTCCTCTTGAATGCCCCCCTTCTGCCCAAACCACACGTGATATACTACTAGCTGTGTGGATAGAAATTTCTTTTTTCTTTCTTTTTTCTTTTTTTTATTTAAAGACCGAGATCTGTGCAGCATGAACAAAACAAATGCGAAAAAGGGTGAAAATCCAAATCCTAGTGCCAAGGTTTATGTGGAAGGTGTCATAGGGGCGTTGACTGTCTTAAAGACTTGTTATACATTTAAATCAAAACCCTTTTCTGAACTTTGCACTATTGTTGAGGTTAATCCGAGAAATTTGGGAATGGGGGAGGGGGGGATGTGATATACGTGTTTACTTGTATGTACTGTCGTTTTCGTGTAGTTCCGATTATATGCTTCAGTGCGAGCTTTCTACCAGAGGGAAGTGATCTTGTCTGTCTTCAGCACAAGAAAAATCTCTGATCCAGCCTAAAATAACCTTGATCTAAAAGAGACACAGAATACAGAGAGTCTGCTCTACTCTCATCTATCCTCACCACTGACACGTTCTGCCGCTTTCACAGACTCCAGCTGATCTGAGTTCAGTTGGCTGGTGGCACGGTTGACATTTTGCCTAAAAAATTCACTTCACTAAGAGAACTGAACAGGTTTGACACGTTTTGAGATTTTTACTTTTTTTCTCCAACCTTATTCTCATCATCTGTTTTTATTATTTTTAGTATTATATATTGATTTGAAAATGTGTATATAAATGAAGACTCAGTTTAAAAAAATTAAATAAAAAGTATATAGACCTTAATAATGCTTTAATAATATATGTCTTAAAAATTTTCCTTAAAGAAATTAGTACTGTTATTCGAAATATTATCAAATTATATATATACAAATTTGATTATGATTTTTAATGGAATTTTTTTCCTCTTTGGAGTCTGTCAAAAAAAACATTCATGATTTTAAGTTTACCATTTCATGCCTTTCGCACTTTTGTTTTTGAGTCAAAACTGATCAACCGAATGATCCTATAAAATAATCCAGTTCTGTATTGTATTTTTTATTTTTTTTTGGTAACCCATGTCACTACCTGCTCACAGTTTCCACCTTATAATACCACAAAATAGATATTCATTGGCATACTCTTCTAATCAAATGCCAGTGTGTTCGAAGGATACCCTGTTATGCATGTTGTATAATCTAGTCCCCAAGGATAATTAATCAGGTTTAAAATGTGGTGAAGTCAAGGGCTAATGTGATGGGCATTTTTGAAAATACCTATTTTTACCCAGCAATCCTCTGTCCTGTTGCCTTTGCTTTCACTCTGACGCTGGCCAGAGTGAACCCGACCCTGACACCAGCTCCTGCCCATCACGCACCAGTCCTCAACACTGAACTCTCTTCCTGTCCATATGTGTACAGTCAGGAAACCCAAGATCCATACTCTTCAGAGCGGCTCTCTGCATTCAGTTTAAGCTTGGGTGTAATTGATCACAATCGTTTAGGCCCAGATAGAGGATGTTGCTCTTGAATCTGGTCCAAAAGAAAGCCCAAAGACTCTTACCAGTTTGTGCACACACATCCCTTTAATAAGGAGACTGAAGACTGAGCCCCTGTTTTTAGTCACCACTGAATCTGTCAAGGACAGATGGACTTGTGAAAAGGCCATGGTGATTTTTTTTTTTTTTTTTTTTTTTT